ACTATTGTTCATTTCAGCCTATCTTGTTAGTGTTACTTGATGCACAACAATGTTGTCTTGCCATCTCCTTCCTGCATGTAGTTTTAAAATGTAAAACCACCCATTAATTACATAGTAATAACTTATCCAGGTTAAGTATGGCAACAGAGTGTTTAAAACTTCAGATTTTGCCACAGGAAAGCCAACTTCTGTTTCTGTTCTGAATGTTGTGGACACAACTAGTTTTGTAATACTGCTTTCCTAGTCATTCCTAGTAAAAACACTGCTCATGACACTAGCAGTCATTGGTCTTATAGTGGAAAAATCACATGCTCATGTTTAATATTTCCAAGCTTCTCATACTACCAGGCTGCTATGTCTCAAACTTTAAATTTTTGTAGGCAGTTTTGGAATCTAAAGGGTAATGTCTACTTACATTCTGTTGAATGGCAACAGAAATAGGAGATTAAATGCGATGTTATCCCCCCTCATCTCTATTTGGTATTCTGCAGTGTAAATGGGAAGTGCTTACAAGAAGTAAAAGGTAACTAAAAACTTTAGCCATGCAGTACGTGTACTTACCTGTTAGCTAAAGAAACAAAAATTCAGATATATATGTAGACATAAAGACAAATTGCTTTCCCCTCATTGAGACAAGAATGGAGGAAAAGACTTACGTGGTCACTACTTCAAATTATGATTTTAAAAGAACTTTAAACAAGCTTTGTACCTATTGCATCTCAACCATGAACACAGAAAATAACTGAATATTTCATACCATTCTTTGAGATGCCAAAGCTATGAAACACTAAACTAGGGTGTTGTTGTTCCCCCCCCCCCCAAAAAGAAAAAAAAAGGGGGGGGGCAAAAGCTGAAGGTATCGCAAAGACATTCGAAACCTATTTTGTAATATGGTGTCTGATCTCCCAGTATGTTTGACAGTTCCATTATCTCTTTTAAAACAGACAACTGACATCAGCAAATAAGATTAAATTATTTTAATTGATGGTTGAAATCTTCATGCTGTTAAGATGATTTCTATATGCATCTACTTACTACTGTAATGTGACGTTTTATAAAATAATGAAGAACCTCTAGTGTCATATTTGCCTACATTTATCTCATTTTAATCCAAATTCCAGGTAGCTCACTGAGATGATTTAAAAGAATATAGCTATCTGTAATGTTAGAAAACATATAAGAAGATAGCTGAGGAGCAAATTTGAACAGAAGCATCACTAGCAAATGTAAAACAGGAATAAACATACACAATCCATAATAGCTTACTACTGATCAAAAGAGCTACATGCATCTTTCCAAATAGAATCGTAGAATGGTTTGGGCTGGAAGGTGTCTTCGAATTCCAACTCGAAGATTACTGAGTTCCAACCACTCTGCCACAGGCAGGGACACCTTTCACTAGGCCAGGTTGCTCAAAGCCCCGTCCAACCTGGCCTTGAAGACTGACAGGGATGAGGCAGCCACAGCTTCTCTGGGCAACCTGTGCCAGTGTCTCACCATCCTCACAGGAAAGAACTTGCTAATATTACCCCTCTTCCAGTCTAAAGCCATTAACCCCTACATGCTATCCCTACATGCCCTTGTAAAAAGGGAAAAAATGCCCCTAAGAGTCCTTGGGAAAAGAAACCCAAGTATGGTAACTTCATATTATGTCATTTCTTAATGCTTGATTATTGAAAGGGGGCAGCAGGTGGGGGGAGAGGAAGACCAGTGATACTTTTTTAGTTCAAAGTAGTCAGCACTTATGGAGATAAAAGGCAAAAAACCTGAGGTCAAGAAAATTGCTATATAAATTAATGATGAGTTAGTGAGCTCTACAATAGTAGAAGCAGGGTGTAAAGTAGTCCCAGAGTGATAAAAAAGAAAAATTTCAAATATTTATGGATATGGAAGTTACTATGTAGTTTAGCATACTCAGCATATTCCTTAGTTTATCTAAATACTGTATTATCTTCTGTAAGAACTATTTTTAAATGGTTGGCAAATGAGAAACATGTTTTAATACGTCGTACTTTTAATTGTTGTCTCCTGCAGTTTTAGGTAGGTACAAGAAAAGTATTAAAGAAAATGAACGTATGTAAGGAGTCAGATACACCTGATTTCTAATCCCACTTTGACTGTGGATGTCAGTGTATCATTATTTTGGGAGGCAGGGGAAAGAAGGAAGTTAGTTTAAAAAAAAAACAAACAAACCACCCCTGCACCTCTTCCAATGAGGCTGAAGAGTGGAATGACATCAGATGTTCACCGTTAATACTGTGTATTGCTGTGGATATTTATTTTCTTAAATAAACAGTCTTTCTCTAGAAAGAGAACAACAGAAAACTCATATATGGAATATCAGCCTATATTGTACTTTATTTCAACCAATAAAACCACCATCTCCTAGAATTTTATATCTTTAAAAGGTGCATTATACCAGAAAGTGCCAAAACTGGCAGTTTAACCTATATGCCCTTTATGCATACATATTTTGTGATTAAGATTGCGATTAGAATGGGAGACTATTAAATCCATGTTCAGAAGACTACAATTCTTGCCTAAAGAAACTACCAAAACTCAGGTTTTAAGCCACAAAATTAAATAAATACTAAAATGTGTAAAAACTTGTCAAATGGTACATGGAACTTGCAAACCAAAGCAGCAAGTTAAGTCTTGGGGTTTCACAAAACCTGAGTTAGATATCACAAGAGACCCCTTTCTGGATCTGTATGGATACAGTTGTTGGATCTCCACCCTTAATGCTCAGTCTCAATTTAGTACTTTTGAATGTATATGGAAATGGTTATAGCTACCATCTACATAGCTGATGTACAAAGTTCTTTCATTTTGGTAAAGCTTGTTCTTTTAATTAAACACTTTGAGATCATAAAAAGATGGAGCATTAAAGAAATGCCTCCCATGCTAAAGATCTAATTTCAGTGGTTTGTACAAAAAAAAAAAAAAAACCTAGCAGTTCAAAATGTCATATTCATTCTATTTCAGCTACCTTACAGTTCGTTAAATTTCAGGTTTTTAAAATGGACACCTAGCACTTTGGTACAACAAATGAGTTTACACTTATGGATCCTTTACTGAAAGCTGGCAAAGAATATTTTGGTCATTATGCAAAACATAGCAGTTTCAAATTAATTGCTGTCAGAATGCAGCACCAATGTCCACAAATGCAAAGTGAGCATTTTGGTAAATGCTACAAAATGGCAAAACTGAAAATAGAGCTGCACATCCTAAGTGAAAGTGAAACAGAGACATCAGTCTGTTTATGTTCTATACTTTCTCCTGTTATCACCTTTACAGAACAAAAGTTAGGGCTGATGTCACATTGTTTTCAGATATCACACTTCATCTTACTAGCAAATTAATTTAGGTAATTTTGAGGACTAATCAGCTTCTGATACAAAATAATTAAATGCAATCTATTTCATTGGCAAAGCATTAAAAGCTATTGAGTCCAACAGTTTCAGGCCAAAACTCTTTCTTAATGCACACTGTCCTGTTCATATCCAAATGTTATTGCCTTGCCCATTCTTGCTCTGCGCTTTTATCAAACCTGTGATAGGGTTAGAATGGCAAAGGTCAATTAAGGATAAGTTTAAACTTGAATATTCTTTCTTAATACTTCAGGTTATTTTCTATACTTTGCTTTTCATTCTGTGTTTTCTTTCATCACTGGAAGTGGACAGTGGTATTTAATGGCCTAATTTTTTGCTTAGCTGCCAGGTATTTCATTTCCATTTCATGTTTTAGGTCAAAGCTGATCTATGATAGCATTTTTTGCTATCACCTTATCTGTCTACTAAGTGGATAAACTAAATTGTCCAGTATTTGTGGAAAACTCTGTAGATGTTTTATGTGCAATATATTTTAGGATTACTGTTTCTAGCTAGTGTGTGCTTTAAGCTTTAAAATTAGTGTAAAAAGCATTTTTTCAAACATTTAGTTCTGATGTAACTATGGAAATACAAATGCATACAATGCTATTAAGCTCATGCTATTCTCCTTTAGAGAGGAAAATATGAACAAAGCACAACCCTAGACTAACAAAACACCAGCCTTTGCTCAAAAAAGGGAAAGGTTTCATTCCCCCTAGCAGCTGTCTTCCACCGCATTACCCATATGTAATATGGACAGAACTTTCTTTCCTAGAGAGGTTGTGAAGTGGAATGACTTGCTGGTGAAACAGTTTGGGAGACCTATGGGGAAGTCAGACATGCAAATAGTTGGCTTGTTATAGAAGCTGCTATAACTGCATAGAGCAGTTATAGAATAGCTACATGCTATTCTATATAGAGTATTATATATTGTATATTATATATTCTATATTCTAATAGAAACTGCTGTTAACTGCATGTAGGAATATTTCGTCCAGGGGCTCAGTGTTGTTTGAAATCAAGGATGGTGGTATTATTATTAAAGAGGTGATTAAAATTGGCTTTTGCTCCTATTATATCCGAGATACCAGATTTTCAAATTACTAAGCAATTTCTAAAATTACTAAGCAATTTCTAAAATTACTAAGCAAACCAACGCTTTTCTGATGATTTTGTTTCATGTCCTATTTCTAAGAGTTCTATTTCTGAGGAGTAGTATGTTCTAGAGAACAACTTTTGTCTATTGATTCTTGTGTAACAGCACAAAATTACAGTTTTTTGCTTTGTAAGTGGAGGGATACTTAAATTCCAGCAAAACAGTTGTCACACTTTTTAATGAAAATAAATGTCATTTCAAGGTGGATTTATTTAGGATTTAACCACGGAATTAAAATTACATTCTGACTTTTTGCAAGAACACAACATATATAAGGACATTAAGCATTCTGCTCTAGTCATGGCCTGGGAGAAAGAAAGTTTTGACATCTTTATGTACGTGCTGCAGTGGCATGTAGACATTACTGAGAGAAGTGAGACCCCGAATTTCCCATCCATCGCTTATAGTAGAACACTATGTCAATTTAATCAAATCATTTGAGATATAAACATTTGAGATATAAACGAGCTTACCTTGATGAGGTTAAGGTTCAGATTAAGTTCTGACCTCTGCCTGTAGTGAGCTCGCTCGAACGGGTAACTGATAACGTAAATCCAAGCAAGGGTTAAACTAGTTCACGCGTCTGCACTTCGCTAGCGGACCAAGTTTCGGGAAGCCTTCGAGAAATAGGCTGGAAGTGCTGTTCTACAGGTGACCGGTTGTTACGAGTGCTTCGCTTTTTCGGGGAGGTGCCCGTGTTTCTTCTTCATTTAGCACGAAGGCGACCGCGGTTCCTGGATGCAGGGAGGGATCGAACCTGGCGGGCAGGTGCAGCTGAGGGGCAGATGGTGCCGCCCTACTCCCGGAGGCGCCGCGGGCAGCCCCGAACAAGGGCCGGGGCCGCTGCCGCCCGCAGCTGGGCTCGGGCCGGGCCCCGAGGCAAGAAACCGTTCCCTCTCCCCGGGCGGCCCCGCAGCCGCCACGAGGCCGTCAGCCGCTCGCCACTCCGCGCTCGAAGGGAACCGGGCGGCCCCGGCGGCGCTCGCCCGATTCCGGGCAAGTTCAGCCCTCGGAGCAAGCTGCCTTTCGGCCCGCTGCCGAGCGACAGAAAAGCTCGGGGCCGGCTTTTCCCCCTTCTCTTCCCTAGGTTTGCCGTGCACAGGAGGCTGTCAGTAAGAGGCACTGCCGCTTTTACCTCAGGGAGGCTCCGCGTCGGGGGTCGGGGACTCCGGGCCAGCTGAACCCCCGTACCGTAGCGGAAGCTGAGCACGCCCGCACGCTGAGGAAAAGCCTCTCTCGCTCTTTTCCATGTTGCCGCCCCGTCCCCCAAGCGAGACGGGGTTCCGCGGGGAGCAACTGCGCCCGCGCTCCCGCCCCGCCGCCAGCAGCGTCCGGAATCTGCCGCCCGAGCCGCTCCGAGCTCTGCCGCGCTCCCGAGCCCGCGCTCCCGTGCCCGCGCTGCGCGCGCTCTCCCCCGGGCGGCGCTGTGCCCGCGCCCCTGCGCGATGCAGTGTGGGAATGGCTGTGGCGCTGGGGTTGGCTGAAAGAGGCGGCCAGTCGAGGTTTAATGTCCGCCATGTTGGCCGTGGCGTATTGAGCGGAGCCGGAGCGGCGGAGGAGAGAAGCCAGCGCCCAGCCCAGCCGCGCCAGCCGGCGCCGCCGGGCCCCGTGTCGGAGTGCGCCCCGCCCTGCCGGGGGAGCCCCGGTCCCTCCATGAGAGCGCTCGGCGGGGTCCGGCTCTCAGCTCGGAGCGCTTTTGCTGTCGCCCCCCCCTCCCCAGCCGGAGCCGCCATCGCCGCCTAACATGAGCAAACTGTCGTTCCGGGCCCGGGCGCTGGACGCGTCCAAGCCGCTGCCCGTCTTCCGCTGCGAGGACCTCCCCGACTTGGCCGAATATGCCTCCATTAATCGGGCCGTGCCGCAGATGCCCACGGGCATGGAGAAGGAAGAGGAGTCGGTACGTGAGACCCCCCCCCCCCCCCCCTCGGCCGGGTCCCTCCATCCCCCCCGCACCCGGGGCCCCCACCTTCGCCTCTGCGCAAGCACAAAATGGCCGCCATCTTCTCCCTGCTCTCCCCGCCCGCCGGGAGGGGGGGGGGGGAAGGACCTGGAGGGGGAGGGCCGCAAGCCCGGCGCCCCTTACCGCCTCTTCCCCTTGCGGTCCTCAGCGGCCCCCGCTCCCCCCCAGCCCGCGCCCCGTGGTAGCTGTCAGCCCTTTCGCCAGGCCCCGAAAGGCACAAAGGCAGTCACGTGATACCGCCGGCGTCCGCCATTTTGTCTCCCTGTTTCTTGGGCCGGGCCTTGTGCGGCAGCGGCGGAGAGACGGGCCTCGGCGGCGCTGTGCCCGCTCTGCCCCACCGGGTGGCGCTCCTGAGCCGGCCGCCGCCGCAGGGGGCGCTCGACGGCGGGTGGCGCAAGGAAGTTGTGGCGGCTGCCGCGGGAGCGCGCGCCCGCCTGCTCAGCCCGGGCCGCCCGCGTCGGGGAAGCGGAAGGTGGCGGGCGGGAAGCGTGTCCCGGGGCGTGGGGGACTGAGCGGTGTGAGCTGCAGGGGGCGGCTGCTGCAGCAGCCTTGTTGTGGTGGGCTTTGCCCGCGTCCCCGCTCGTGTCTTGTGGCGGCATGCCTTCTCCTGGCGGGCTGCTCCGCTCCGGAGGGAGCTGCTGTCCCAGTAGCCTTTGTTTGGTACGGAGTTTTTTCGCTTATGGTCATAGGAAGTGGAAGAGTTTCTGTTTACATTTACTTGAAACCTTAGAAGCGCCTAGACAGACATGGTGTGAGTAAAGCTGTACTGTTCACTACGTGGAAGTACGAAAGCCAGTACTGAAATGCTGCTCAAAGTAACAAAACAGGGTTTTGGAGGCCAAAACCTATCACTTCACTGTCAGTTTTGTTGTCTCGGTGGAGAACGGAACTTAAACCTTTTTGAGCTTCAGGATCATTTAATCGTTCACTCAGTACTTACCGAGCTGGGTATAACATTCAGTCGCTGTTACTGCTGAAGTGGGTTATTTTGGTGTTTGCAGATCTTTATTTCCTTAGTATGATAAGTTTTTCCCATTTCTGTGTTGAGCACAGCAGATAGAACTCTAGAAGTACGGTTATGTAAAGAGATTCTGAAACTTTGTGATAAGAACAAGCGCAACGATTTCATAGCGGTTTTTGCTAGCTGTCAGGCTGCTGTTTTCTTCCGAAGGTGACAGGCTGTGAAGTTCCTGTTTGTATTTCTACATTTAGCAAACTTTGAGTTACTTTTCTAAAAGTTACAATACACATACCTCCTTTGAATATACTTTTCTCTTCGTGGCACTGTTGCTTTAAAAAGTTAACTGATTCTGTACATTTTTGAGTGATTTCTAGAGTAGTGCTCTTTGCATGTTGTTGTCTCCATTCAGTAACTACTCTCTGAGACTTTCCTAGTGTAACTGCCTACTGTTTTAACAGAACTCAGTATTTCCAAGTCCTGTGCAAGTTGTAAGTTGCTTTGAAAGTCCACTAAAATACATATTGTGAAGTGTGTGATTTTTTTTTTTTTTTTTTATTTTTTTTTTTATTATTTTGGTTTGGTGGTGGTCATTTTTGTGAAGGTGCTCAAAACTGTTATATTATCCGTTTAGCAGTAGTAGTTAAGCAGTATTATGTAACTATGCTTGAATGTGTTTCTTTTGATGCAGTAGATATATTCTGAATTGATACCTGTAGATTCTGAATAGGAGCGAGAGCACCCCTAATTTCCATTTGTACCAGAATGTAAAGTGTTGTGTTTGCTATTCTGCTTGCTTGCAGAGTTTATTTGTCAAAGTGAGCAAGTGTGCATGCATGCATGCATTTATTTATGTACAAATGCAGGTTGCTATCTTTCTCTTTTACTGTTTGCCTGGCAGTTACAAGTTTTCAGGCTAGAAAATTACATGGGGTAACTGTATAACCTCCTTAAACCCAGAGGTGCATGTCCTAGCTAAGGAAAAGTAGACATCGACAGTGGAGAAACTTTAAATGTTAATTATAAGACTTGTTTCTGTGGTTAATGTGATGCTTTTGTTTACTATACCTAGCTTTGAGGGTTAAACTTCAGAGCAGTGGTTATAAGTAGACACTTTACACAGTTAAAGTTTGCTCATGCTTTTGTTTTAAATATGTGTGTCCACACCTCTCCCAAGAAATTTGTTTGCTGTCAGTAAACACGACGTTTTCCTAAATACCTTTTGGATTGTCTTCCATAAAATAGATGATGTTAAACTCTTTCCCCTTCTTGTTTTTGCAGACTTGCTGAACTTCCTTCCTTCCCTCTTGTTGCCCCAAAAAGTTTTCTCTTCAGTTTTATACTGGTGTTGACACTAGAGACTCATGGTCATGGTAATTGACTAAAGCTATATCAAACCTCACAGATTTAATACCCTGTTATGCTCTGTTTCCCAAACTTCATGCCATGCAGGATTTAACAATGTTGGGAATTGTTTGTGTTAAATAGCAGTTGAAGACTGGAGGATTTTTCTGTAATACAAAAATATCTATTGTTTTCCTAAATATTATCCATTTCTTTATGGACAGTTGGCAAAGTGCCCATAAGAACCTGGGGTGAAGGGCAACTTCAAGTAATGTGAAGAGGCATCTGTAACTACTTTATAAATAGAGTTCTAACATTGCCTTGAGTTTTGCATAAATGTAATTTTAAATGAACACATATTTGGAGTTAAGAGCTCTCCTCTTGACTAGATAACTTTCCCTAGGGAAAAATGCAATCAAAAGGGATTTAATATTCAAGCATCGAGTCAAGATATTTAAATGACTAATGTTTTGATGCACAAAAAGGAATCTATTTTGTTTTCATTACACCTGGAGTTGAAGTTGAGCAGTGTTTTTCTAAAAGGAAAGCCTTATGGAGTTGATCTGAGTTTTAAAATATGTAGTTGGTAAGAGTGATACACTAAGTCTTTAAAAAGAGATGGCAACAAAGGGCCTTAAAGTAATGTTAATTCTGTTAACAAGAGTATATCTTTCTGCTTAGCAAGTCATAACTTCAACTAGTGGTTTTGTTTGGAGGTAAAAAGACTACAGTATAAAGCTCTTTAGCACACAGACAGTGGTACTTGAAGTTAGCAGCTGATACTGTGTTCTGGCAGTTGCTTTAGCTCCTGAGTTTCCAGGGTAAACACATTGTGGCTGTTGCCAAGGCTGTTGCTAAATCTAAGAAACTAAAAACTATCAAGAGACATATGCATCTCTAAAAAGAGAAAAATAAAAAAGCTTTCAAAATATAATGACACTTCTTATGCAACACAAAACATTCCCTGTATTATCTCAAAATCCTGGGTTTAAGCAAAATGCATCCTTAGTGCTGTAATTTTGAGAACCAGACAGACTGCTGTTAATAAAATACTAATGCAGATTTAACTAACAAGTCCATTTAAATTTATATGTGCCTGAATAAAGAAGTAGATGGATTGGATTTGTTTATCTTTTGTGGAGTTTCTGGATTTGTTTTGTTTTTTTTTATAGGTATTAATTTGTGTGGCCTGTTCTGTGTTTTTCGAGAGAGATGTTGCTTTAACCGGAAATTCAGATCGTGGAAAAGCAGAACATAGGTAACTTAGTTCTTGAGGTAAAAGGCTTTACTGAAAAAAATAAAAGGCGGACTGAAGCTTTTTGTCCGTTTTCTGTAAGTTATGCTTCGGAAGGAAAGCATGGATGGTTTTACAGGCATCCTAAATTTGATGGCTTCCAATCAAACCAAGAAGAACTACACTTGTTTTTCCTGTTTTTTTTTCTGAAAGATAGCACATACACCATAATCTGCAGCCTCTAGATTCTCTTAGATAAATAGAAATGTAGGTGCTTCTTAGACTGTGTAGATGAAATAAATATCCTTGTGGAAAATTGTGAGTATAGTTGTTTTGGTTTGTTGTTGGGTTTTGTGTTGGTTTGGAAGAAAACCTTCCTCCCCCCCCCCCCCCCCCCCCCCCCGCCCCAAAAGAGACAAAA